ACAAATTGGGCCTTTTTTGTTGCCCGCTATTACCCAATCTTTTTAGAAGCTCTAAATAGAAAGCTTAATTAGCAGTATGAGCTGGTAGTACTAACTCTAAATGCACTATCCCCCTCACATCAAAACAACAAATGAGCATCTTCTTGATCTGTGATTTCACTTGACGACCTTTTATTGGGCGAGGTGATGATGGTGCTTTCAACTAGCTTGATTAATGTTTGCTTTTGGGGTCGTGAAAATAGCAAATCTCATCACCGGTAATGACCTTGGGGAAAAAATGTCTGAGTCACTTCGGAGCTGTTCCTTCAAAGCACAGGAAGTTTCCACTTAATGTTATTTTTCCAGGTCAGTTGGAACTGGAGGCACAAATTTCACAGTGATCCTTTGTATTCCCAAATCTTCCTTTAACTTTCATTGAACTGAGCTCCAGGCTAGTACAGATAATTTCCCCATCTCTTCAATCAATGGTCCACCGTTGGTCTTCAAGCACAAGTGCATGAATTTTGGCAACATTTTCATCCATTTGGGAAGTTGAAAGACATCCAGAGGTTTGTCAACAATCAACATTTCACCTTTTATGAAATGAGATAACCACTCATATGCTTAAGTTTTTCCCACAACACAGTTCTTGTAAGCTGTGTTCAACATCACAACAGTTTCTGCAGCAATTTTCCCAAGCAGGAAACAAAATTCACAGCCGCACATTGTTCTCTTGAATGAGCCATCACAAAAAATGAGGTTGGAGTGAAACTGCTTTTATGAAAAATTCACTGTGACCAAAGAGTAGCTTCCCAGGTGACACCACTGGGTGCACTGGGTAACTCAGAGCAAGTTGCTGGATGATCGCCTAGCAGGGGGAATGTGCATAATACAAAAGCTCTACGCTACAAAACTTTTGGGGTGGGTGGGGGAGGGTACCCCTTGTATATATGAAAGTATTCTTGGGCTAATATTCAGGTTAGATCTGTCAAGAAGAAGGGGCTGTTCTTTCATTAGTTATTCCAGAAATGTTTTGATCATGCATGTAAAGTGTTTATGCTTAGAAAAACATTATTCAGAAGATGCAAGGTTACCTTTTTGGCAATGGGAAATAATAAAACAAAAGAAAACAAAACAAAATGATTACTACACAATGATAGAAACTTTGATAAAAATATTGAAATATGCAACTTGTTTCTAAATATACCATCTGTCTTGTTCCTTATGAGGAAGGAACCCTGGTGGTGTAGTGGTTACATGCTGGCTTGCTATCCACAAGGTAAGGAGTTTGAAACCACCAACTATTCCATTGGAAAATGATGGAGCTTTCTACTCCCACAATGAGTTACAGTCTCACACTCACTCGGGCAATTCTATAGACTTCTGAAAGTGGTTCAAAATTTGTGTGCTCTTTAGTTTATTTCATTTCAATATGATTTATTTAGTATCCTTGAAAAACTCAGATCATACTCCTTTGAAATGTTTTTGGTTTTGAGGCTAATGGGTCAACGGCAGGCCACTTAGCATGGGGTTCCTCCTTTCCCTCTAAGAATCATCATGTACATTGTTGTGATGAAATGAAAACAAAATCCCTCTGTACTTATCTGGCCTTTTTTGCACCAATACAGTTAACAATTTTCTTAAAATTTCTTCCTAAAAATCCTTCATGATTATCTGTGTCCTTTCAGAAAATCTACCAGGATGACCTATTGGGAATCTCAAAGACTTCCTCCATACCTTTCACAGCTAACCTTCCTGCCTTGGATTTACCTGCCTCGCAGATCAGCTCAGAACCCTCTGTTTTGGTCGGGCCTTTTCTTAAAGGCAACTGAATGGAGGTGAAAGCAGGTGCATCACTGAAAGAATGTGTCTGTAGCCAACTACTGATTGCAGAGATATGTCTAATTATATATTTTTTGAAACAGACTTATGCATGTATGAACTAAAACCCTATTAGGAATAGATTTTTGCCTTATTTTGATGCACATAAAGAATTTTACAATGGCTGAGAAACTCTCTGCCCACTACTTACATTGTGCTTTGTAAGGTTTGAAATATTTGTTGCTATTGCTTGTAGCCAATCAATGCAATCTTCAGCAGAGAGGCACTGGATAATCCCACTGCACACACCATCCACGGCAGTGACTTGGAAAGCATTCTGCCTGCAGGAATGTCAAAGCACAGTGTCAGAGGAAATTAGATAAGAAATTCACCTCATTCATCCACTTGATACGCTTAATGGGGTCTGTCAAAACCTCTCCTGTCAAACAATGGGTATATCAGTCTCCAAATTCATATTTCACTACTTCTGCTTAGGAATATCTCTAGATATTTTAATGGAACAGTAAAAAGAAATATAGGTAATATGTAATTTTATATTAATAAAAGGAATTCTGAAATGCAGATAGCTATGGTGGAACTCTTGATTATAAAAAGTAAAACTTTAAAATTAAAGAGTATCTAAACAATTCATTATGAGTTTACCATAAAATGATAAAAATATTCCTATTATTTTGGGTATAATGATTTATTTGTGACATTTATCAGGGTATTTTCTAACAAGGAAAGGTCACTAAAAACAAAACCAATATTAAACACATTAACAACTCAATTGTCAGGAGTTGTTGAATTTTGTCAGATTTTAAACAGCTTTAAGCTAATTTAGATAATTTTCTGAAAGATGGTTTGGACAAGATATTCATATCATTCTTCTATGTCTAATTTTTTTTTTCTAGATTTATGTGGATATTGTGGATTTCTATCACAGCCAAATTTTTCTTAAAATTCAATGAAGATTGTAACTATCCCTTTAATCTTTTATTAACTTTTTAGAGAAAATCAAATGATACAATTCTGTGTTTACAGAAGTGTTATAGAATTTAAAGTTGGATCCATGAACAGCTTGAATGTTTTACTTTTTGTTTTTACAAAATTATTACAAGGTGTCCTTACAAACTTAATTGTGGACAAAAATATAAATTTCAATATGAACAAAAATTAGACAAATGTTTTCTGCTTGAGAATCACTTTTGAATAACCATTTTTTAAATGTGAAAATTCTATTCAAATTTTAGTCAACTATAAAGGAGTAGCAAAGTTCTGAAGTTCAAGATTATGAATATGTGTAAGTTGTATAAATACAAGTGTTTTTCAAAAGAAACAAAATATTTGTCTTGTTTTGCTCTTATATATTTTTGAATATTAGACAATATTTTATTCATCCTAACAACCTTACAACAAGCCCTCAGAACCACTTTGGCACTGACTCATCTGTAACTGCTCTGTCACTCCCCTGGCATTTATGGTTAACCCCCAACTTTTAGTAAGGCACGTGGTAAAGCTTCGGAATACATCACTGCAAGGTAATCCAAGATATAGGTTTTATACAATTTGGCTTTTATATGCCTGATACAGATTTTGTATGGTTAACTTTCATATAGATCATATGATTGACTTTAATATATTTTATTAAATATATGCATATGCATTATAATATATGCAATGCATATTATTGGATAGGTACAAACATTGTCTGTCTTTTTTAAATAGTTCTTTTGAAATTCAGA